ACAGCCTACCGCGCTGTCCCGGGCTCACCATCAAGGTGGAGCGGCGGCCGAAAACGGTCACTGAACCGGGGTTACACGTGGGGTACATATGGGTTGCGTGTGGGTCACATGCAAAACGCACCTAGGTTCCTGGTGCATTTCCAACATCGAAGAGCATCGCTAGTCACTGGACGGCGATCGACAAAGTCGTCATCGTCCACCGCTGAATTTTCTCGGCGAGAACGGTAGCTCCCAATACCACGTGGAACGTCTTGTGGTTCGATGTCGTCGACAGGGTCTAAACCAATATCTTGTGAAGTGGCGGGAATACCCAAACCCCGAGAATTCGTGGGAATCTGAGATGACACTTCGGCAAGACTGCCCCAACGTCGTGGACGCTTATGATCAGAAGAATCATGACGCTTTGCCTCGTCGTACGTCCCGCGCTTCTCGGCGGTCGTCCGGAAGTCGAATGGTCAAGAGCTTGGCTCAAGCTATAGCCCTGAGCGGCTGTGGTCGTAGACTTACCCGTGCAAGAGACCACAGAACTCGCGGGAGCGTAATGAATTATTCCAATTGTCGCAGGATTACAATACGCAGAAATTTGGCGTTGCGCCTTGGATTTGGCAAACTCAGATTAAAGATGGCATTCAACGCGCACGTTTACTTTCTTGTGGCTCCGCTGTAAGTAGACAGCAACGATAGTTTCCGGTGCCGCTGCACCCATCGCTCAAAGAGCTCATCATCATCTGCAGCGGTTTCGCCAGTCGCCAGTGGTGAGCACCACAGGAATAGCTCGAAATACGGGTCAAGAGCTTCCCTCTTTGAGCGCAAAGTCAAGCGCAGAACCTAGCCATTGGGATTTCAGGGGTGCCAAGAAGTGAACTCGAAGAGCTTTTCGTTCGTCAAGCTCAGCTTGTGTAGTGGCCGGCGGGCTGACTACGTAGATCCCTAACGATCGAGCGATCGTGTCTTTCGCTTCAGTAGCGGCATTCGCCGAGCGGATGCTGTATTCCACACGAGGGTCTAGGGCCAAACGTGGATATGAGTGCATGATGGCCTCCCTGTGGGCAGCCTCCAACTCCTGCTCTTGTGCCTCGTCGAGGCGATTCGTAATAAAATCATTTCCCCTGGAAGTCGAGAGGTCGGGAAACCGAAATGGTGTCTACGAGGTTCGAGCAGGGCTTACGTCGTGCCGTTGGCGCACCTCACCCTCCTCTTCTTCCCGTCCTGGGAAAGGATTATCTGACTCATTGTCGACTTCCTCTGAATTCTCGACGAGGAATTCTGTCGCCCATGGCGGGCGCAATGTTTTGCCGCAAATAAAACAAAGAAACACAGTTCACATTTGGAACGGATGTGTTTATTTGCCTTGGGCTAAGGCTGTGTTTTCTCCTGAAGCAAGCGGATTGCGATCCGCTACACTCGTACTGGTTCTAGTATAGAACAAATATCGGTGGCCTTAACTAAGCTTCCTTGAAGCGAAAGAGCTACGGCAGCCCCGCTACAGATCAGATGCGCTTCGAATTTGACAAGAGCTTATGTTATTGCAACTATGATTATGTCAGTGTAAGAGCTCATCGAAATATAGTTTCTTGACATCTGCTTGGGGTAAAGTACACACTGTGGCAAACGCTGAGGTGTTACATACGACATATCTGAATTCGAAATATCTACCATCGGTGGACGCAAAAGGTCCAGGATACGGCCTTGAAAGTCGTCACTTCTTTCACACACCAGCACCAATTGACATTCTTTTTATGGAGATCGGTAAGAGGAATTGCCATGCTCTCATCACTTGCACTATACTTGTTCAAGAAGCTGGTCAGGCCAAGCTATTTCTTAAGATCCTTTTGGTTAGTAGCACTGGATAAAATGAATTACCTTGATCTTTCCGGGGTCAGCAGACAGGCAACGAGTGTAGCGGGGCTGCCGTAGCTGTTTGCTTAAAGGAAGCTTACATAAGGTCACCGGCCTTTGTTTTATACTAGAGTCAGTACGAGTGTAGCGGATCGAAATCCGCTACCTCCACGAGTACCCAAAAACTTTAACCCAAGGCAAATGCACTCTTCCGTTCAAAATTGAATTTGTATTTTTCTGCGGCAGAGCCGCCTATATCTCAAACCTTAGATTTTTCTAATTGAATATTAAGACCTAATTGATATGCATAACTACTGGCAGTCCTGCCACGTAGTGGCTTCTTGTTAAGGTGTAGCCACACCATTGTGTGACCCACCTCTTTATACCAGAAAACGTGTAACCCCATTATCTGATCGGTCTTAAGCCATTCAGGATCTATACAGATCATGCGTCAGTGCGTATAGAGACGTCATGACCGCAGTTCTCATCGAGAGTAAGAAGATGGCTTTATCGTTTTGCCGAGCCTTTCACTGAAATAAGGTATAAGCCGGGTCGGCTTGATTTGATGACATTACGGATGTGTTTTTGCGTAGTCTACACTTTTTTGTCCATCTCACAGCAACGACTATGTCGTGCTTCACTGCTATGGTGTATGTACACGTAAATTTAGACGAAAGAATGCCTTATTACCGCGAGTTTTGTAAAACAAGGTGATTTAAACTCGGAAGCTGCTTTGACGTACTAACTAAACAATCATTTGAGCATGTCATGTTCTCCTATGGACAATAAAAGATCAATTTACGCTCAGTAAAAAAATTACAATTTGATGAAAAATCTGATTACAACAATTACTATTACAAGGAATAGGTTTCAAAGCGGACACAGACTTACCAGGATTCACTGATGACAAGTGCTACCGAATGAATTGGTTGCCAAGCACACATATGATGTTTTGACTCTGTAAGTTCGCTTATACAAAACATGTTTCTTACACTAAGTGCAGCGGGGCTGCCGTAGCTTAGCGCTTGAGGAAGCGTACTTTGGGTCGCCGACCTTTCTTGGTTTACAAAAACCAAGTACAAGTTAGCGGATCGCAATCCGCTTACTCCAAAAGTAATTATTGCCTCCCCAAGGCTTATTGACTCTTCGGTTTAAATTCAAAACTAATTTTTATCTAATTTTTATCCTGATTTTTAAACTTTAGATTTTCCTAAATATAAATAGTAGAATCTAAATACATTTATAATTACTGGCTACCTAGCCCCGTACCGTATTCTTGTTTAGGTGTGGTCAAACCATGCACATCTCGTGGACCCCGTTACACCCTCCCCCATTAAGATTGAAAACATTGACAGTTCCAATCGATTATTCTATCAACAAGACTCGCGTGTCCGCTAGTCACTGCAACTTATCAAAACGACTTCCGTGCTTAGTCAGCCCTGTGTTGATGACACCAAAATCTCCAAATCTCGCTGGTTATGACAGGGAGCACGGGCAGAGCCCAACTTCGTCTCCCGCACTCGGTGCAACGTCGGACAGTGCGT